ATATATATATATATATATATATATATATTTCTTTTTTTTTCATATATTATGTAATAAAATATGTATTGTTGATCCGTGTAATAATATACACAAGACAAATAACGAAATTGAAAAAATTGGAAAAATTATAAAACTATTTATGCAGAAAATATAATAAAAAGTTGTTAATTTATAATATAATCCTCTTCATATTATTTTTGTGTAGAAAGTATTAAATTTTTGTACAGAAGCTTTTCTGATAGACTATTTTATATAGTACTTCTCAATATTTTTAACTTCTTCTCAAATCTTCTAAATATTTTAAACCAGCAAATTTTTGTGTAGCTAAAACAACTTGTGTTTGTAGAATTAATCATTCTCACTAACTATAATTATAAAATTAATAATTATATAATTATAAAATCATTCTCACTTTGCGTAAACCTCTCATATCATTATTTTTATAGAGAATACAAGGTTAACCCGTTGCGGTCCGCGTTGTATTCGCAATTTCGTTCCACCCGGTCCGCATAGATTTCACCAATCGCTCANAACCCGTTGCGGTCCGCGTTGTATTCGCAATTTCGTTCCACCCGGTCCGCATAGATTTCACCAATCGCTCAACCGTTTACTTTGGAAAACATTTATGATGCTACACCGCAGCTCTTATCTTATCTCTTTTAGCGTACGATAAAGACTCTGTCAACGTCAACTCTGTCGCATCATAGGACACGTTGGAACGAAACGCGATGTCGAGTGTCGCTCGACATAGGACTTGTTGGAACGAAACGCTGTGTCGAGTGACGCTCGACATAAGACCACAACGAGTTAAATTGGTTTAGCTCAGAATTCATATTTAATATAATAATCTTCTCTCAGAAACAATTTTTTATTATAATTATTTCCAAATATTTAAAAATAACAGCGAACTACGTGTATTAGCCTCTTTCTTTTACCTTTTTTTAAAGTTAATTTTTTTTTTAGATATCACATCTTTTTTACAAAAATAACATTAAACACGTAAAGGTGCGTTTCTTTTGTTAGAATAATTTAGGTTGAAATTGTACAATGTAAATATTTAGTTTTACATAAAACAGCAGGTTCTTTAAAGTTTGCATCAAAACTATTCATTGGTATAACAAACTAGAAGAGGTCCCACTTCTACTTTCGTCGCATTTCACAAGGTATTTGTTAATTAAACAACAATTTTATTTCACTTATTTCCGAAGCCTATAAGTTAGTTAACAAATTTCATGTAAGTCCAATATCGTTATCATGCTTAGTTGCAAATCCGCTTAAAAATAAGAATTTTTACGAGAAAATATATTTGCACTTCATTGGGCCTAAAATAGGCCTACAGTCGAAATTGTAGCAAGTTATGTCAAATGTAAAAATAATATTCTGAACCTGAATTGAAACAACCATCCCTAATCTGATTGAGCGCACTTTGGACCTGAGTACGTTCACCCTGAGCCTGGAATTAAAATCTCATCAGTTTTATTAGAGAGAAAATCTGCCCCAAGCCTAAATATACTTAAAAATAAATATTTTTATAAAAATTCGACTTGGGCTTTATTGAGCATAAAATGGGCTTCTCAAATTGTAGCAAACTATGTCAGATACAAATAATACAGAATTCAATAAAATTATATTCTTTTAAATATACCATGGATATTCTTTTAAATCTATCATGGATCTAAAAGAATACTTTAGTAAAAGGCGATAAGCACTCAATAGTTGCATATCCACTGCTTTCTGAATGTACCCCATGTATTGTGTTGTCCGGAAAATCCGTGCGGATTTTTTCAGTAGGTGACGTTCAAGTGCAAATTTTAAAAGGCTAAATTAGTGCAATGTGTCAAATGCATATATTTCGATAAGTGACGTTTCAACGCATATTTTATGATAATAGTTATTGTGATTAAATAAAAATATTTCTCTTAGCATCAACTTGAAAATGAAAATAACGTGTTTTTTCGATGCATAATGCTTTTTTATTTCCATAAGGGCAAAAACGCGACACAAACTCGAAATAAGATACGTATTGTGTATGGAGAGGATGCTGTAAACGAATGCATATGTCAGAAATAGTTTGCTAAATTTCACTCAGGAGAAATGAATATCGAAAATGCTTCTCGTTCTGGCCGGCCAGTTACCATAGATATCGACCAAATAACGATTTTAATCGTTTCTGATCGGCAAATAACAATTCGAGAAAATCGCAGTGAGATTAAAAGTTGGCAAATCAACTGTTTCGGAACATCTACGCAAACTTGGAATAGTGAAGAAGTTCAATATTTGGATGCTGTACAATTTGAATGAAAAAAATCTCATGGGTCGCATTTCGATCTGCGATATGCTATATAAACGCAACGAAAACGACCCATTTTTTAAATGAAGTGTAAGGTGACGAGAAATGGATGGTTTACAATAACATTGAGCGAAAGAGATCTTAGAACAAGCGAAGTGAACCGCCATTAATTACTGCGAAGCCTGGTTTGCATCCGTAGAAAGTCATCCTCGCAGTTATTGCAATATCCGTGATGATCTTAATCAGTCCATTATCTAATGCCGACTAACTAATACAATTGTCTTAATCAAATAGCTTCGCTATGAAACAGTTTGTTCTCTTCTTCCTTTCTTTTTTCTCAAAGAAAAAGACGAGAATGTGTTGTATCCTCTAATATTCAAGAGTCGACCGTTCCGTATAACGCTTTACAGCTCGGCGTCCGAAGTCGCGACTACAGCCACGCGATGGATAGATCCGGTGACTAGTGCTGAGCCCGAAATGCGAAGATCCGTGAGCGATAACGGTCCAACTGGAAGCGACGGCGTGCCGAGCGACACGACCGAGGATGACTGGTCCCGCGGTAGCGCTGAAGATCCGGACGAGGTACCATCACCGTCCAGCTCGCCGTCACCGTCACCAGCTGAACCACCGGAACACACTGGTCCGATAACAGAACTCGATCGCAAGGTATGGTCTCATCTCTTTCTCTGTTTTTCAATAAGAGAATATTATATATACACTGTGCTACACTGTGTAAAATATTTTTTGGAACGCAATTTAGTTTCTTAGTGCAACACCAGAGTGTATTACATTACGATTTTCCATTCTTATTTTTATGAATATACCTGGTGTATCTATAATAGACATGTGATTTTAAACAATGAAAGTATAAATCTCTCAGGGATTGACATACAGTTCTTGCAATAAGTTTTAGAAATTTAGCCGTGAATTATACCCAGGAAAAAATGTTTATATATATTCATATAAAATTATATACACGGTGACCCAGATCAACAGGGCAAATGTTGTGAGGGCATGAAAGGGATGGAGGTGAACAAAAATGTCTTCCACCATTTTGCAAATAACACGCGAAATTTTGAGTTATTAATTATTCAAAATGCCCATGTATCTCTAGAAGCTTCTCTAATTAATAATTCAAAAACTTTTGTGTTACTGGTAAAAATTCACCATAGGGGAGGCAATTCCGATTGACTTGACCTTGACATATGTTGTCAAGGTCACATTCCTGAATAACACAAAAAGTCGCAGCCGTCGCTCATTGTTTATTCAAAAGTTATAAATACAAGAAATTTCAGTAAATATATATATTAACACGTTGACTGCCGCGCGCGTTTACAGTGAAATCTCCTTCAGGCCACGCGTACCGCTGTACAAAGCGTATTCTGCTGGGTATTCCCACCGATATTTTAAGAATGCGAATCGCTGGTTGTCGCAAGAATAATCTCTCGCTCCGTTTGTTTCCATGGTATCATGCT